GCTGTCGCCTCGGTGGCAACGCCCGTCGGAGGCGGTCGACGAGGCCAGGGGGCAGCGGCACCAGGCCCAGGTCGAGGCTCTGCGCGGCCTCCACCCGGTCACATGCTTGAGCCGCGATCGCCGCGCACAGGATCTCAGCTCACTGCAGCCCTGGAGGTGCAGTGTAGCGTCGCCGGGTCAACATTGATTGTGTTGTTGTACCAGTGGTGTTGATCGAGGCTTGTTGCAATTGGCAGTTCTTGACTTAAGTCGTCTAGGACAGTGCTGTATGGTAAGCACACCTAAATTATGGCCGAATGGGAGGCAAGCACCTTAATCAATGTACAACACCAAATTCATACACGCAGCCAACCGGCCGCGGTCGGGTGTTGCTGTGGTTGCGTCGTTAGTTACCGTCCGAGCCACCCGAACTGAGACCAACATTCGGTAGCTGCCCGAACAGAGTCACGGTCCAACATTCGGTTTAGCCCGCAAACAACAGAAGATGACACAAAATGGAGTGCCCCGGCTGCGACTGCCAACAGCCAAGACAGCGACGACGACTGGCACCACGCCCGAAAGCCACACCACGACGTCGCCCACTACCACCAAGCAGCGCTCGGCCTTCGTGGAGGGCCTCAAGAAGACGCTGCGAACGCCTCGGCTGGGCAGGAGCAGGAGCGAGCGCGACGTGGGCGCGACGGCCGACGTCATCTCGGGGTCGTTGAAGAACAAGAAGACGACGACGAAGACGAAAACGGAGAAGAAGATGAAGGGGGCAAAGACAAAGAAGATGAAGGGGGCGACCGGCGCAGCGGCCAAGACGGTCTCGGACCCAGTGAAGCCTCGCGGGTTGGCCAAGTGGAACGAACTGCTGGTGGAGGAAAAGCAGCGAAATAAGTCGATGGGCGACGTGCTGGTGTTGATGAAGAAAGATGGAGCGATCGAGCGGGACGAAGGCTCTGGAGATGACGACCCATCGGATACCACTTCCGACAGCTGCGACGGCACCGGCGGCGGAGGCAAT